GTTTTTCAACCAAATTTCCTAGGAACAATACCAATCTTATATAAAATTTCTAACCAATTTCGATCCAAATTTTCCGAATTTTCTGACAAAAATATGAAATTTCCAGCCAATTTTGCCCTAAATTTTCCGATTTTTTAGGATGAAAAATTGATTTTCGACAAGTTTCCAGCCAATTTTTCTGGAAAATCCATTTTTCGAACCTTTTGGCTTCTGATTTCCATCGCCTCGTGCGAGCAGGACGTCGAATTCTAGCTTGCAACTATGATTTTCTGGAATTAAAAAAAAACTAATTTCAGAAGCTGTGTCTACTTATGTGTTGATAAGCGGAGAAGGAATAGACAGCGAGGAGAAGGACCGCCGATGGTTGATGACGTTCCGATGAAACCTTTGAATCCAATCAGAGAGCAGCCAGAGGAAGAAATCCACGAATTAGAATAATTTTTCCATGTATTTTTGTGCCTTTTTACTAACTTTTGGGCTTAAAAAGTCGGAATTTTCCCAGTTTTTGAACAATTTTTCGCTGAGAAAACTTCTAAAAAATCTCGAAAATTTACGAATTTCGACTCAAAAAAGTTCGAATTGTCATTTTCCATGTATTTTTGTACCATTTTTACATATTCTTGTGCCTTTTTCGTTCCTGAACCTTTTCATTTATTTCTAAAACTCTTTCACTAACTTTACCTATTTCTTTGTATGTTTTCCTTGAATTTCCCGGTGCCACTTGCTCCGTTATATTATTGTTTTTCTAATTTTTACGCTAAAAACCAGCGTTTTCATACCCCTCAATATGCTTCAAGTCGTAAAAGTGCTCGTTCTGAGTTGTCTCGTGAATAGCGCCGGAAATGAGGAGAAAAGAGGTTTGTGAAGGTGATTTTACAGGAAAAAATGGTAAAATCTCTAAAAATCCAAAAATTCCACGCCAAAAATCACCAAAAAAGCTCGACTATCTGAATTTTCCTGTTTTTTGAACTTTTTCGTCGAGAATTTTCAAAAAACTAGAACCCGGAAATTAAGTAAAAAATTGAAATTTCGAGTTAAAAAAAAACTTTTTGATAATTTTCGATGTTTTCAGTTCGAAGATTTCGAAAATTTCGGTTTTTTTTTTGAAAAAATTCAGATTTCGGCTCAAAAATTCAAAAACTTTTGAAACGGGGAAATTTTTCCCAAAACTTAATATTTGGGAATTTTTATGAAATTTTCGGAAAATGTAGAATTTTTGAGAAGTTTTCTGAAAATTCCAGATTTTTGAAAAGTTTCGAAAATTTTGGAATTTTCGGGAAATCTCTGAAAAATCTTGGATTTTAAAAAAGTGGGATTTTTGGGAAATGTTCTAAATATTGGAATTTTCTGTGTAATGTTTCTGGAATAAAGTGAATTTTTGGAATATTTTTAGAAAAATTACTGAAATTTCTGGAACTACTTGAGAATTTGAATTTTTTAGGAAATTTTCTGAAAATTCGGTATTTTCGGAAAATTCTGAATTTTTTGGAAAATTTCAAAAATTTGTCAAAATCTGATTTTTTCCAGAACCAACCAGATTGCACTACAGCTATCCTAACGCGACTCTCGAAGGAACGCCCAATTTCGAACTAAACAACGCCGATATTGGATTTCTAGCCAGCGTGGCAATTATTGTATTACTAATGTGGCTCATTGTAATCAAGTAATGCTTTTTTAGGAATTTGGCGAAAAATGGGAAAAAATAACCAAAAATCTGTGGAAATGGTCCAAAATTCATAGCAAATAGTTCCTAAAATCTCTGTAAATCTGTCTAAAATCAGCCAAAAATCGCCGAAATTTGTGAAAAATAGTCCGAAATTCATCGAAGAAAAGCTCTGAAAATCTCTGATAGTCTGTCGAAATTTTTTTAATTTACTGATTTTTTCAGAATCATCATATCGATTTTCGATGTACTGCCAAAGGCTAAAATAACAGCTTTCCGTGAAGCACCGCCCGGAGATTTCGTATCAATATACGCAGAGATGAGCGACCCGAGAATCAGATGGTCCCTCATCATATTACTCATCCTGAAGAAGTTTTTGTATGATTAATCTGATAATTTGAATTTTCAAATTCTGTCATCTTTTGTACATATTTTCTGTTGAAAACTTCTCATTTTTTGTACATTTTTATCCATTTTTAATACTCGAAGCTCGGTAATTTTTCATCTATTTAATTTTCAAAAATTCGAATTTTCAAATTCTGTCATTTTTTGTACATATTTTTCACTGAAAATTACTCATTTTCCTGCCGCTTTGACTCTAATTTTTGTACATATTACCCATTTTTTGAAAAGTACTCGAAGTTCTGTATTTTTCATCAATTTTTCAATCTTTTTTTCGATTTTCTTTGTTCCGGTGCTATTGCTCCGTAATATTTTGAACTAATTCCCTCTTTTTTCAGACGGTTTAAACGATTTTCAGATTCTCAAAATGCTTCGAACGATTCCAATTCTCATACTAATTCTTCTGGTGCAGGGTGATGGAAATGTGGCATTTGAAGGTTTGTAGGAGTAGGAATCTGGGGGAAACGTGTCTGAAATTGTTTGAGAAATTCGAGAAAAAAATGGCTCGAAACTTGCGAAATCGACCTTAACAATTGTCTGAAAACGTGAAAAAAGCCTGAAATGGTTGAAAAAATTTCACATTTTGAGTTTTTTTTTGAAATTTTTACTTCAAAATTCGTATATTTAAAAACCAAAAAAACTCGTTTTCCCTGTCAAAAATACGATTTTTCACATGAAAATTCGTCAAAACATAAATTTGTAAAAAAAATGACTCAAAATTCGTCGATAATTGACCCAAAATACGTGAAAAATGAACATAAATCTGTGGAAAAATTGAACCAAAATTGGTCAAAAATAACCCTAAATTCGTGAAAATGGCCTGAATTTCGTAAAAATGGCTTCACATTCGTGAAAATAGCTCAAAATTCGTGAAAAATGACTCAAAATTCGTGAAAAATGATCTGAATTCTTAAAAAATGATCCAAAATTTGTGAAAAATGGCCAAAAATTCGTAAAAAACGTAAAAAATCTTCGAATTTTCCAGAAGACCTCTTCTCCAACTTCACCTTCGTCAACTCGACAAACTCCACCACCACCATCCCAAAACCTGAGTAATCTACAGTATACAGAGCGAAAAGAAATTCCAAAATTCCAATTTTCAGCTTCACGGACACAATAATTTTCGCACTGAAGCTCACTATTTTCCTTGTCATGCTGGTTTTCTGTGTCCTCGGCGGGTAAGTAATTTTTTGATAAATTTTGGTTTAAAAAAACTGAAGATTCTGAAAAACTAAAGTTTTTCTAGAGAAAAATCAATTTTTCCTCGATTTTTTGCGAAATTTTTAGCTATTTTTGCCTGAAATTTGATGGAGGAATGGTTGTCGTGAAGATTACTGTAGACAGAAAAAAACTACAAAACATAAGATTTTCTACAGTAGTCCCTGCGAATTTCAGACAGAAAAAAATTCGGAAAAATAGTGCATCAAAAATAGCTGGAAAACGGCACCAAAAGGACCTAATCTAGGCTAAAATAGATCTAGAATCGCCCAAATTTGTCTATAATCTGGATTTTAGACCGATTTTAGCCTATTTTTGGTAATTTTTATGCCATTTTCCCGCTATTTTCAAGTCATTTTGAATTATTTTCAGCCATTTCGAGAAGTTTGAAAATGTAAAAAATCGTGAAAAAATGTTCAAAAATAACTGAAAATCCTAAAAAGAGCTGAAAATTTTGCAAAAAATCGAAATTTCCAGAGTGCATCTCTACATTAACAAGGGAACTCCACTCCCCGATGGAGTAAAAATCGTTCCAACTCCCCGTCTACAGCATCGGAATCGCGCAAATCGAGAGGAGAACTTTCAATGAACGATATTTAATGGACTAATTAGGGGCCCAATTAGCTCACTCTAATTAACTTTTTTGAAAAATTTTTATTTGAACAAAAATTGCTCATTTTCGTATTCTTTCCATCATATTTTCATTCTGCAGAGACTGTAATTTTCCCAATTTCTCTCAAATTTTGAAGTTCAAAATTCCCAATATCCCATGTACCTATATTTTTCTTGTACTTTTTCTCCATTTTTGTACATAATTTTCTCTGTAAATCCCGTCTGAATTTTCGAGAATTGACCCAAGAAAAAATCTACTAATCACTAATTTATTTTATCCATTTTTTCTTGGTTTTCTTCCTTTGATTTTCTTGAATTTTAAAGATTTTTTAGGGAGAATCTCGCATTTTTAGACTCTCAAAATGCTCCGAATGATCCCAATTCTCACACTAATTCTTCTGGTGCAGGCCGATGGAAATCAGAAGCCAGAAGAAGCGATTTTGGAAGGTTTGCGAATTTGAAAACTCCTACAAACTGACGAAATTTTTGATGAAAAGTCTCAAAATCATCAAAAAAGCCCCAAATTTCGCTGGAAATTTCGAACAACTGAACTGGGCTCAGTCTAGGCTATTTTATCACGGTGCGCGCTCTCCCACAGAACAATTCCCAACTGCAAATTAATTTTTGATCTACAGAAAAAAGTTTGGCGCGATCACAATTGCAGGTCTAAAACCATAATTTCAGAATTTTTTATCTGATTTTGTGGAGTTCCAAGATGATTCAAATGATTCTTAAAAAATTAATTAGTCGTTATAGATTCATGTATGGTCGTTTTCCGCAAGAAAAAAATGTCAAAAATGGTCATTTTGAAAGTTTTTTACTGAAAAAATCTCCTCTTTCACAACTCAAAAATGCGATTTTGTGCAATTTCATAAGGTTTTTGAATTATAAAAAAATTTTATCAGACAAATTAAAAATTCATCCATAGAAAATGTAGAGAAAATAATTGCGGTTTTTTTGAGCTATAGAACTCCTAGAAATGTCAAAACTGAAAGAGGAGATAGATTTTTTCTGTAAAAAACTTTCAAAAATGACCATTTTTGACATTTTTTCTTCCGGAAAACGACCATACATAAATCTATAACCACTAATTATTTTTTAAAGAATCATTTGAATCATCTTGGAACTCCACAAAATCAGATAAAAAATTCTGAAATTATGGTTTTAGACCTGCAATTGTGATCGCGCCAAACTTTTTTTTCTGTAGATCAAAAATTAATTTGCAGTTCGGAAATGTTCTGTGGGAGAGCGTGCGGTGGCCTAACTTTTGCAAGTTGAATTTTTTAGGCCACCAGCTTTTTTGGCCTAGAAATGGTCTAACATAACTCGGGTGTGTTTTCTAGGTCATTTTGAAGTGGTGGTCTAATTTTTGCAAATTTGGCTTACTAGGCCACCACTTCAAAACGGCCTAAAAATGCCCTAACATGACTACTATTGTGTTTTCTAGGCCATTTTGAAGTGGTGGCCTAACTTGTGCAAATTTGGATTTCTAGGCCACCACTTCAAAATGGCCTAAAAATGACCTAACATGTACCTGGTGTATTTTCTAGGTCATTTTAAAGTGGTGGCCTAAAAAACTTAACTTGCAAAAGAAAGGCCACTCTTTTCCTCACATGAGATCGGGGTGTTTGAAACCGTTCGAACGAGATTTCGAAATCTTGAATGTTTCCAAAAGACCCCATTCTTGACACCGAGAGTTTCGAATTTTTTGGATTTTTCCAGAAGACCTCAACACCACTACGACCACTACCGTCGCCCCAATTTCCACAAGGAAGCCTTTCAACGTCATACTACATCCATTATACGAGTAAAACTAAATGTTTCATTAATTTTCAAATTTTCGAAAATTCCAGAAAACCAGAAGAATCAAAAGAGGACGATTGGGCGATGTTCATTTTATTAATTGTTGTTTCTGTTCTTTTCACTGCTTGCATGTGGTTAGTTTTTCTTTTTTTTTTAATTTTCTGAGGAATTTGATTGTCAATTTAAACGAATTTCGAGTCTTTTTTGATGATTTTCGAGTTATTTTTCACGTATGTTGGGGCATTTTTCACGAATTTAGGGTCGTTCTTCACGAATTTTGAGTCATTTTAACGTCAAAAAAGTCAAAAAATCTCTCATTTTCAGCTCTGTTGGGTTCTATATCGCCGGAAATCGACAAGTGGCACCGAATGATAATCGCCAACCAGTACGTCGACAAGAGAATATTCCACTGAATGATATGAATTGATAAGCAGCTCCGCTCCTTTTTTTGAACGTTCAAAAATTGATTTTCGTGTCTTTTTTCTCATGTATTTTTCACAGTTTTTTCCCTGAAAACACCTCGAATTTTGCCATTTTTCATGTATTTTTCACTGAAATTCCTCTAAATTTTGCTATTTTTCTCACAAAACTCCAATTTTTTCGCTCCAATTTTCTAATAATTTTCATGGATTTTTTCCCTAATTTCTCACTGAAAATCGCTCATTTTCCTGACTATTTTTCGATAATTTTAACCATTTTCTCACTGCCAAAATCTGTGATTCCCGTTTAAAAAATCAACTAATCCACTAGATTTCTCCTTTGTTTTATTTTTGGATTTTTTTCGGGTTTTTTGTCCGTTACATATTTTTTGGATTTTCAGGATTTTTCCAGAAAAAAAAGCTCGGAATTTCCAGAGAAATGATTCGTTGGGTGCTATTTTTAGCTCTGATTTTTGTTCTTCTTCTGGCACGATCAGAAGACAACGGGGAGGAAAAATCGGAAGGTTTGTTCACAAATTCCAAAAAAGTCATATTTTTGATGCCTAAAATCCAAATTTTCTGAACTTTTTTTCATTAAAAAAATTTGGAAAAAAAATTTTTAGCTCGAAATTCTTCAAATTTTCTACAAAATCGCCAAAAAATGATTGGAAATTGCCAAAAAAATCAGTTGAAAACGGCGAAAATTGATATAAAATCACAAAGAATTTAACTAAAATCACCGAAAATTCAACTAAAATCACTAAAAATTGATATAAAATCGCTAAAAATTGATGAAAATCACCAAAATCCATCAAAATTCGCTAGAAATTCAAAAAATCGGAAAATTTTCTTAGTTTCTGGCTCAAAATGGATCGAAAAATCGGCAGAATTGGCTCAATTTTCTCCAAAAAAAAATCCGAAAAATTCGTTATTTTTTACAGACGACGTCCAGATCTACGACAACGTCACCATCGGCTACACTAGACCACCAAGGTACTGTATCCCAAATTTTTCAGAAAGAAATATCAATGTTCAGATTAACCCATGCTCAGAAAATCGAGATCTTCTTCACTGCTGTCCTCGTCTACGTTCTCGCTGGTATTGCCATTATCGGGTGGGTTTTTTTGTCAGAAAAATGGTCCAAAAAAGTGGAAAAAATGACCTAAAAATGAGGAAAAAAACGTCCCAAAAAAGTGAAAAAAATGCCCTAAAAATGAGAAAAATTAGAAAAAAAATCGATTTTTTTCAGAGTTTGCAGTTTTGCATACCGTTTCCTGAGGCCAGAAACGGGAGAACGAGTGCATGAGCGATCCCGCCGACCACCGAATCATTTTGAAGGAGCAGAATATCAAAGAAATGAAGAGAACGTTCGATTGAACCGAGCAGCAGCTCCTGTGGTCCCTGGAGAATATTAGAAAATCTTAAATTTCTGGTTTTTTCCCCGATAATTTTTATGCAATTTTTACACTGAAAATCATTAATTTTGACTTTTTTTTTCAATCACTTCGATTTAAGCAATTTTAACTAAAAATCACTGATTTCTGGCTTTTTTTGTACCGATTTTGCCCATTCTTAGCCCCTAAAAATCACTATTAATCCCTCAATTTTCAAAATCTCGTCCCTCTTTTGTACATGTTTTTTTCTGTCCAATTTTGTAGAATTTCTGGATTTAAATTCACTAATTTTTTTCTCATTTTATGTACGAATTCTCCCTGTCTGTCTTCTCTCGAAATTCCGAATTTTCCCCCACAAAAACAAACCAATTTCTCCCCACACTCGAAAAAAAAATTCTAAAGTTCATTTTATTTTATTTTTTTTGATCGGGTGCTCTCTTCCCTGTATTTTTTTTGAAATTTTCGAGAAAATCGGTTATTGTCGTTTGGTTTTTTGATGAAAAACAGATTCTAAAGATGCTAGCGATCATTTTCCTACCAAGAAATCTAAATTTTGTCCAGAAAATCCCACTAAATTCAAAGAAATAAGTTTCGTTTACTACCGTAGTGTTTCTGGGGCAAGGCCTCGAAAATTGACCGGGAACCGCCCGCGAAACTTTCCAGGTCCCACTTTTTTTTAATTCTACAATATCTTCAAGGTTTTATTCTTGATTTTCAATTTTTTTTTAAACTAGATTTGAGAAAAAATCTTTAGAGCGCCAAACTTTTGATCTCGAAAATTGCGCCAAAAAATGAATTTCTAGAAAAAAAACATAATTTTTCCCAGAATTTGCATCATTTTCGATGAATTTGAGCTGTTTTTTGTCAAAAATACAAATTCCAAACAAAAAAAAAATTGTATTCAAAGTCATAAATTTTATTTCTCAATTTCTTCTCTTTTTTCTTCTTCTCTTTTATGGGTGAAAAAACTCAAAAATATCAAATTTTAGGCTCCGCCCTCAAAACAAAAAATGGCATCCTGGATTTTTCAATGGATAGGCGTCGCGGATTGTCACATAATTGATTCTAGTGAGTTAATTTTTTTGGAAACATTTTAAGTTTTTACCCAAAAATATCCCATTTTCAACGATTTTTTTCGTGGAAAATAGCGAAAATTCCCAACTTTTTGGGCGTTTTTGGCCAAAAATTTGCATTTTTCGGATTTTTCATAAATTACTCATAATTTTTCGCTGAAAATCGATCTGAAATTCACTTTTTTCCTGGATTTTCCCAACTATTATAGGTTTTTTTTTTTCTCAAAAAAAAACTTAGAAATCAATCAAAAATTCGGAAAAAATCACCGAAATTTGAGTTTTGCTATATGACCTGCATATCCAACTACGGTAGCTGAGTGAGAATGCAGACAAAACATCACATCTGACGACAATGCGTACAAAACACTACATTTGACGCGCAAGTTGCGCATTTCGGGCGGCTCATTTTTTGAAGTAGAATTAGGCAAAAATACGTGAAATTGTTTTTGAGTGAAATATTGAAAATTACGACTTTTTAGACGGTTTGTTTCACAAAAAATTCCTGAAAGTTGTCAAAAATAGCGGAAATTAAAAAAATTTAGGCCCCAAAAATTGCATTTTTCGGATTTTTTTTCATTAATTCTTCACCATTTTTCTAAATTTTCTGCAGATTTTTGACAAGTTTTTCGTTGAAAATCTGAAAAATCGACCTGAAATTACATCTGTTCCCGAAAAATTACTCCAAAATCGCGGAAATTCGAGTAAAAATCACCGAAATTTGAGTTTTGCTATATGACCTGCACATCTAACTACGGTAGCTGAGTGAGAATGCAGACAAAACATCACATCTGACGGAAATGCGTACAAAACACTAGATTTGACGCGCAAGTTGAGCATTTTCGGGCGATTCATTTTTGATTCAAAATTGGGCAAAAATACATGAATTAGCTAGTTTTCGAGTGATAAACTGATTAAAAATTGAAAATTACATTATTTCCGACGATTTATTCCATGAAATTCGCTGAAAATTGACCAAAAATTGATGAATTTTCAAAAAAAAAATAAAAATGTTTAAAACATTTTCCAGGTAACCAAACGAGTCCAAACCCCCGATACGAGTACGAAAAGTGGAAGCCAGGCGGATTTGGCGGCAGTTTTTCGGGGAAAAGTGCAAAAAATCGAATTGCAAATAGGATCAGAAATTTCGATGGGTCGGATAAAGCGGTGATGGAAAGGTAAGTGCGCTCTATTGAAAATAATTTAAACTTTTCAAATTTTCAGTTTCATTCGATCTGGAAAAACCTGGCCGTATGCGCTGGCTTTCTTCTGCTTTTTCGCGTAAGTTTTTTTCTAAAATTCAAATTTCCGCCAATTTTTCCTTCAGAGGAATCCTGTTTCTGGTCCTCCTGTGCTGCTGTAAACTACGCCGACGACGAGGTGGTGGAAATCAACGTCCTGGAGGAGAAGATTATGGAGGCGATGATGATAATGATAATGGTGATAGCCCTGGACCATCGAGTCGATTGAATAAATGGTGGCCAAACTCATTCAGAAAGCAATATCAATCAATGAGAAAATCTGGGTTCAAGGTGAGAAATAAAGGAAAAATCGAATTTTATGCCATTTTCAGAATCAATTGAACAACGTTAAGCAAAAAATGCATTCTGCGGTTGAGGAAGTCACTGAACCCAGTGAAGGACGACAAAGTGGTTCTGGAGGAGCAGTTTCCGCATTTAATCACATGACTTTCAATTCAATCGACGAGGGCCCATCGACGAGCAGCCAAGACACGCCGGCGATGAATACGCGAAGCAGACGACGAAAATCGGGATAATAATTTCAAAATATTGACTTCTTTTTTAATTTTTTGGCCCAAAACTCACTCTCTCTGTCAGTTTTCACTGGAATTTCTATGATTTTTAATTTTTAATAGATTTTTATTCAATTTTCCACTCGAAAAACTAACCATTTGATGTAATTTTCATGTATTTCTGTCTAATTTCGTATCAAATAAATGAGCCGCCCGAAAACGAACGAATTGCGCTGCGAATTGAGCGTTTTGTCCGCATTTTTCACTCAGCTACCGTAGTTAGATGTGCAGGTCATATAGTAAAAACATTTTCATTTTCAAATTTCAGCGTTTTTCCAAAATTTTTGTTCGAAAATTTTGGAAAAAATTGGGAAAGTGAAAGAAATTTTGAATTTCAGGTCGATTTTTCGAATTTTTCGAAAGGAAAGCTTTAAAAATCGAAGAATTTATGAAAAAAAAAATGTCCCGAAAATGCAAAATTTAGGCCTAAAATTCACAAAAAAAACAATATTTTTGAATAAAATTGTACAACTTGTGCGGCAAATATAGTGTTTTGTCTGCAATGTCGTCAAATATGGTGTCTTTTCCGTAATTTTTACTCAGCTACCGTAGTTAGATGTGCAGGTCATATAGCAAAAACTGATTTTTATTGAATTTCGAAGTTTTTTCCGAATTCGGAAAGATTTTTTGGGCAAAAAAGTCGAAAAATGTCAATTTCAGGTTGATTTCTCGTATTTTTAACGAAAAATTTTTAAAAAGTGGAAAATTTATTTGAAAAAAAACAAAAATTCAAGTTTTAGGGCATAATTCCGCCAAAAAGTTCCATAAAAAATCACAAAAATTAGGATTTTCAGCGTTATTTCAGGTCAATCTCTTGAACTTTTTCAACGAAAAATGTTTGAAAATTGAAGAAAAAAAATGCAAAATTTGGGTCTAAAATTCCGAAATTTTCTGCGTAAAAATCACAAAAAATAGAGATTTTCCATTCGATTCATTCTGTTAACGGAGAAGAAAAAAAAACTTGAAAGAAGGCCATCAAAATTTCAGTTAAAATACACGTAATTTTTGCATGGAAGCGTGTGTGTTGAGTGAAAGAAAATAGGTGAAGAAAAATTACAGAAAAAAGTTAGAAAGTTAAAAGTTAGAAATATAAAAAATGGGGATATTTGACAGGAAAAATAGAAAAATAAGATAATTAGGTCATTTCTTCTCCTCTTCGACGCCAGAAATATCACTTTTCGAGCTGTTTGAGCTGTTTGAGAGGTCTGAGAGCGACGTGTCATCGTCCTGGAACAGCAGCGAATCGTCAATGGGGTCCGGGTAGCGAGGAGCCATGGGGCCGATTGGACCCATTGATGGATCCATTGAGGGATCCATATCACGGGGATTCAGAGACAATGAAGGCGTGGGATTCAAATCGAAGTTGAATACAGGTGGGAACGATGGAGCTGCTGATGTCTGGGGTTGGAGCAGGAACGGAGGGGGTGGAGCTTGTGGGAAGAATGGCAATTGGTTGTTTGGGGCGCCGAAGAAGTTGTAGGGAGTTGAGAAGGGCTAAAAATTTGGGATTTTTATAGGGTATTTTGGTATTTTTAAGTTTTGTTTAGGCATTTTCAGGCAATTTTAAAGCTATTTCCGGGTTTTCTAGGTCATTTTAGACAATTTTAGGTCATCTCGATGCCGTTTTCGAGTCTTTCTAGGCATATTTCAGGCAATTCAAAGCGATTTTCGGGGGCTTCTAGGCCGATTTCGAGCTAATTTAGGCCATTTTCTAGACTTTTCAGGCCTATTTCAAGGCTTTCAGGCTTGTTTTAGTCAATTTTAGTGCATTTTCGCGGGAATTTCTAGACCTATTCAAGGCACTTTTCGGGACATTTTAAGGTAATTTTAGACCAAATTCATGCCATTTTTGGGTGGTCAAAACTTGCCTGAAATAGTGCCATAAAGACCCGAAAATGGCCTACAATTAGTCGTTTTCGCGTTTTTCTAGGCCTATCTTAGACAATTTTAGGGTGTTTTAGGCCTATTTCAGGCAATTCTAGGTCATTTCCAGGTTATTATGACTATTTTAGGCAATTTATGGTTATACTAGACATGTTTTAGGCATTTCAAAGTCATTTTAAAATTTTTGAGGTAATTTTCGGGGCTCTCTAGGCCTATTTCAGGTATTTTAGGCCATTTTTAGGATCTTTTATGCCGATTTTAGACTATTTTCGTGTCTATTTCGAGCAATTTAGGTCATTTTCGGGTCTTTCTAGGTCTATTATAGGCAATTTTAGGCCATTTTCTGGACTTTTCAGGCCAATTGTAGGCATTTTTGTGTCTTTTAAAGCCCTTTATGCCTGTTTTAAGCAATTTTTAGGTCTTTTTAGGCCTATTTTAAGTCATTTTCAGGTTTTATAGGCTTATTTCAGGGGGTTTCTAGGGACTTTCTAAGCCTATTCGAGGCCAATTTAAGCCATTTTTAGGTAGTTCTTGGCCGATACCAGACAATTTCGGGTCATTTTAGCTCATTTTCGGGGATTTTGTTCTAGGCAATTTTTGGTCATTTCTGTCTATTTTTGGGTCATTTTAGATCACATTTAGGCCATTTTCTAGACTTTGCAGGCTTATTTCAGGCAGTTGTTGATCAAATTTCGGCTATTTCAGGCCTTTTTCGGGAGTTTCGGGATCGTCTTAGCCCAATTTCAGGCAATTTCTCCGAAATTTTTAGGGTGTTTTAGGCTTATTTCTGGCAATTCTAGGCCATCTTCAGGTCTTTCTAGGTCTGTTTTGGGTCATTTTTCGCGATTTTCGAGTGTTTCTAGGCCATTTTTGAGACTTTTCAGGCCTATTGTAAGCATTTTTGGGTTTTAAATGCCCTTTTGAGGCCTTTTTACATCAAATTTGCTCACCTGGAACGCCTGCTGATTCTTCTTCATCTCTGCCAACTGCTTCTCCAACTCCTCACACCTCTTCTTGTATTTCTCTGCGTCTCTCTTCCACTGATCTCTCTCCTTTCGCAATTTTCGAACATCCGTCTCGTCGAAACCCATTTTTTCAACTCCAGAATACATGAGATTCTCCTGTTCCAGCTCCCGCTCGCCACGTCTTCTCTTACGTCGCTCCTCGTGTTGTTCCGCCTGTCTTCCCCATTTCATCAGTTGAAATTGCGTGTATTCGTAGATCGAATCCTCGGTATTCTCGAATAAATCCACGTGCGAGTCTTGTACTCTGCGTCTCTTCAGTGTTGGACGTCTCGCTGATTGCTGATCATCGTTATCACTGATTGTGTCGTCGGGGCGGGGCGTTGTCGTCGAGGAGGGTACGGTAGCAGCGAATTGATACGGTTTTGAGGAGGTGCGTGTGGAGGTGGTGGGACCGAAGTGAAGCTGAAAATATGGGGATTTTTAGGGTTTTTTGGGCGGGAACTTTGAAAAAAATTGGGTTGAAATTTGGGATTTTTTTAGGAATTTCGAAAACTGAAAAAACCGAAATTTGGGAATTTTTAGAGATTTTTTTGAGCGGGAAATTTGAAAAAATTGGCTCGAAATTTGGGAATTTTTGTGATTTTTTTGTGATTTTTTCCCAAAAACAATTAGACAATTTTGGTGAATTTTAGACAATTTTGACCTATTTTCAGCAAGAAAAAACTCGAAAAATCGAAAATTTTCTAAAAATTAAATTTTTCGAAAAATTTCAAAAACCAAATTAGACGATTTTGGTGAATTTTGAGTCATTTTTTATTGTTTTGAGCTAAAATTGCTTGAAAAATCGAAATTTTCTGAAAATATTTTTTTTCGAAAATTAAAAAAAAATTTTAGACGATTTTGGTTAATTTTGAGTCATTTTTGAGTTAATTTTGAGCAATTTTTCACCGATTTTAAGCTATTTTTGGCATATTTTTAGCTAGAAAAACTTCAAAAATCCATTCTTTCGAAAAATCGAAATTTTTGATTTTTCAAAATTCAAAAAACAACAAACCTCCGAATAATCGCCATCATCATCACAGAAATCTTCCCATTTTTCGCCTTTTCTCGATTTTTTAGCGCTGTTAAACAGCTTCCGCACAATTCCGGCCATTCTGAAAATTGAAAAATGAAAAAAAGAGATTTTTAGCAAAAAAATGACACTATAAATGGATTTTTTGAGGCAAAAAACCCAATAGAACCGTTCGGACCGCCCGGAAAATCAATAATAACCGTCCCTTTTGGCGGCGGATTTGGGTGGTGAAGGGGGGCGGATCAAAGAGAGCCGCCACGTGGACAGACGGGCGGTCCGCGGACCGTTTTTATCGGATTACGGTCGTAAAGCGGTCTCTTTTTGATGTTTTAAATTAGTTTATTGGCGAAAAATAAATGGAAAATAACAAAAATGGCGAAAAATGAATAAAAATCAATTCTTACCGATATTCTATGATTATGACGATTCTGGCAAGAAGATTGACATTTAAATCTGCAAAAATTTATGTTTAACGTGTAAAAATAGTTTATTAATGTGAAAAAATCAAGAAAATCCATCGAAAATGACCTCAAATCGAAAGAATTGACGAGCAAAATTCAAAACTCGCTGCAAAAATGTTGTCCGTGTGGAGTACACGTGCGGAGGTTCCTCTTCCACGGCTTCGCGGACCTGCGGCGGGAGATTTGAATTTGAAGGGAGAGGAAGGGGAGAAGGGGGAAAAAAGGAAAATCGACTAATTAGGGCTAATTAGGTCACTTTTCAAGGCTTTTTTGATGAAAAAAAAAAGGAAAAAATCGAAAAAGGTTTCTAAAATAAACTTTTTAAAAAATTGACCTGGAAAATCTGAAAAATCGTTGTTTTTTGATTCTTGGGAAAAAAAATTAGAAAATTCAATTTGTGAGCCAAATGTCAGAGCAATCTGATTGCTTTTTTTAGTATAACATTTTTTTTCAATTTTGGAGAGAATGAAAAAACTTTTTTGACATTTCAAAATTTTAATTTTTTTTTCAAATTTTCGAAAAATATATAGATTTTAAATCCATAAAAATTTTGTTCCTTCCAGATCAATCTGAAAATTTTCACCTGTCCAAAAATACAATCTTTTTTCCTCAATTCCTCCTTTTTTCTAGAATTTTCTATCAGTCATTTTTGGTTTTTTTGATTTAGTATGGCTGCTTTTTTTCTAGAATTTCGTTTATAAATTGGTTTTGAAAACAAATTCGAATTTCCAGAAATTTCAAGAAAATCAAACTTTCCATCTCTTCAAAAACCGTAAATAGTCTAATAGAACGCTACCTGAACCGTCAAATTTGAGCCCATGTATCTCATTTTCTGTGTAAGATATCAAAAAGTGGTTAACTGATAAAATGTTGTTGATATCGTGATAAACAATCTGTCAGTTGAAAACTTTTTGATATCTTTCAAAAGAAGTGAGATATATAGGCTCAAAGTGGACAGTCCGGGTGGCGTTCTATTAGAGTGTTTACGGTATTCCAAATTTTCAAATTTCCAGAATTCCCAAAAAATGAATATATTACTGTGGAATAGCATTGATATCTGGATACCTAGCTATGTATTCAATGATAATTCCTACATTTCCTGGTCCAATTTTCCATATTTTTTATTAATTTTTCTCACGATTTTCACATGTTTTTCTATGTGTTTTTTCATGATTTTTATCTTTTTTGAATGTCGAAAATTTCATAAAAATGCGACTTATTTGTTGGCAAGTATGTATGTTTCATGGTTTGAATGTTTTTTGGCAACTTTAATCATTTTACCATATAAATATGGAATCATCCATTTGGCAGGTAAATTTGTCTGAGAATATCTGAAAATTGTATAGTTTGTAGTTTGTAGTTTATGTCAACTACCGTAAACACTCCAATAGAACGCCACCCAAGCCATCAACTTTGAACTTATATATCTCGATTCCTGTTAAAGATATCAAAAAGTTGTTAACTGACAGATTGTTTATCATGATATCAGCAACATTTCATCAGTTGACCACTTTTTGATATCTCTCACAGAAAATGAGTTACATGTGCTCAAATTTGACGATTCGGGTGACGTTCTATTAGAGTGTTTACTGTATCTGAAAGCTTGAAACTGTAAATGATAAGTTTTAAAGGGGGGGGGGTACACCGAAAATGTTTAGATTATTTTCCTGCAAATGTCTGAAAACTGTATAGTTAGTAGTTGGTAGTTTATGCCCACTGACTACAAACTATAAAACTTCCTATTACAGACACATGAGCTGAAAATTATAGCCAAGAAATAAAAAAAGCTGAAAATTCACTGAGATTTTTGATTTTTTGAGATTCTGGAAAATTTTCAAAATTTTTGAAATTGTCCGAAATGACTGAACAATTCAAAAACTGGAAATTTAGAAAAATATTTTTTTCAAAATTTTAAGATTCAAATTCTAAAATTTTGATTCTGAAAATTGTTCAAACCTGCCAAAAACAGCCGAAAAATTCCCATATTTCAGAGCCCGACCATATTTTCGAAGGATTCGAGGATCTGGATAATTATCTCCAATTAGATGAGCTCAATTTAAAATCCATTCCAGTTCTAATAGCCTCATTTATGGAATGGCATTATTTGGGAATTGTGAATTCCGCATTTTCCTGTTTTTTACTCGAAAGAACATTGGCTACTGTACTCTTTAAGTAGGCTAATTAGACAGCTTATTAAACCCTAATTAATTAAATAAAACATTTTCAGTGATTATGAATCCAAAAATCGTCCAAAACTAACCATTTTCATAGTTGTGGTCCATCAAATTTATGCTTTAATTCTAGCATTTATCCTATTTTTTCATTTAATTAAATTAAAAGAATTACTTGCCTTAAATGCGGTTGGCCTAGTTTTAGTAGTTCCGGTATGGCCTAGAAAATTTGAAAATTGAAAAAGTTAGGCCACGAACATTTTCAGTACTTGCTCATCCTTAAATCCTACAATATCCGACAACGTAACAATATGAGATTGGCTAAAAATATCGCAAAAAATTCGCTAGCCGCCAAGTTTCAAACCGAGGAGAATGTCAGGTCGATTACGGTAGGTTCTTGGAGGGAAATTCTAAAATTCTAAAATTCTAAAATTCTAAAATTCTAAAATTCTAAAATTCTAAAATTCTAAAATTTTAAAATTCTAAAATCCAAAAATTCTAAAATTCTAAAATTCTAAAATGCAAACATTCAAAAATTCGAAAATTCAAAAATTCAAAAATCCAAAAATTCTAAAATTCAGAAATTCAAAAATTCAAAAATTCAAAAATTCAAAAATTCAAAAATTCAAAAATTCAAAAATTCTAAAATTCAAAAATTCGAAAATTCAAAAATTCAAAAATTCAAAAATTCAAAAATTCAAAAATTCAAAAATTCAAAAATTCAAAAATTCAAAAATTCAAAAATTCAAAAATTCAAAAATTCAAAAATTCAAAAATTCAATAATCCAAAAATTCTAAAATTCTAAAATTCTAAAATTCTAAAATTCAAAAATCCGAAAATTCAAAAATTCAGAAATTCAAAAATTCAAAAATTCAAAAATTCAAAAATTCAAAAATTCAAAAATTCTAAAATTCTAAAATGCAAACATTCAAAAATTCGAAAATTCAAAAATTCAAAAATTCAAAAATTCAAAAATTCAAAAATCCGAAAATTCTAAAATTCAGAAATTCAAAAATTCAAAAATTCAAAAATTCAAAAATTCAAAATTCAAAAATTCAAAAATTCAAAAATTCAAAAATTCAAAAATTCAAAAATTCAAAAATAAAAAAAAAAGCGTTGCTTCCAAGGAAATTTCGAAATGGAACCATATGGAAAAATGGGATAATTGCAAGAATTAAAGCATAAATTTGATGGACCACAACTATACAAATGGTTAATTTTGGACGATTTTTGGATTCATAATCACTGAAAATGTTTTAATTATTTAATTAGGGGGTAATCAAACTGTTAATGTGGTGTAGCTTACTTAAATAGTACTGTAGCCACCGTTCTTTCAATAAGAAACACACAAAATCCAGAATTCACAACTGCTAAAGAAATTCAAAAATTCAAAAATTCAAAAATTCAAAAATTCAAAAATTCAAAATTCAAAAATTCAAAAATTCAAAAATTCAAAAATTCAAAAATTCAAAAATTCAAAAATTCAAAAATTCAAAAATTCAAAAATCCGAAAATTCTAAAATTCAGAAATTCAAAAATTCAAAAATTCAAAAATTCAAAAATTCAAAAATTCAAAAATTCAAAAATCCAAAAATTCTAAAATTCAGAAATTCAAAAATTCAAAAATTCAAAAATTCAAAAATTCAAAAATTCAAAAATTCAAAAATTCAAAAATTCAAAAATTCAAAAATTCAAAAATTCAATAATCCAAAAATTCTAAAATTCTAAAATTCTAAAATTCAAAAATTCAAAAATCCGAAAATTCAAAAATTCAGAAATTCAAAAATTCAAAAATTCAAAAATTCAAAAATTCAAAAATTCAAAAATTCAAAAATTCAATAATCCAAAAATTCTAAAATTCTAAAATTCTAAAATTCAAAAATTCAAAAATCCGAAAATTCAAAAATTCAGAAATTCAAAAATTCAAAAATTCAAAAATTCAAAAATTCAAAAATTCAAAAATTCAAAAATTCAAAAATTCTAAAATTCAGAAATTCAAAAATTCAAAAATTCAAAAATTCAAAAATTTGAAAATTCAAAAATTCAAAAATTCAAAAATTCAAAAATTCAAAAATTCAAAAATCCAAAAATTCTAAAATTCTAAAATTCTAAAATTCAAAAATTCAAAAATTCAAAAATTCAAAAATTCTAAAATTCAGAAATTCAAAAATTCAAAAATTCAAAAATTCAAAAATTCGAAAATTCAAAAATTCAAAAATTCAAAAATTCAAAAATTCAAAAATTCAAAAATCCAAAAATTCTAAAATTCTAAAATTCTAAAATTCAAACATTCAAAAATTCAAAAATACCGGAATGATAATAAACATGGAAAATGCGTTGCTTCCAAGGAAATTTCGAAATGGAACCATATGGAAAAATGGGATAATTGCAAGAATTAAAGCATAAATTTGATGGACCACAACTATACAAATGGTTAATTTTGGACGATTTTTGGATTCATAATCACTGAAAATGTTTTAATTATTTAATTAGGGGGTAATCAAACTGTTAATGTGGTGTAGCTTACTTAAATAGTACTGTAGCCACCGTTCTTTCAATAAGAAACACACAAAATCCAGAATTCACAACTGCTAAATAATGCCAAAACAAAAAACCGGCTATTAGAACTGGAATGGATTTTAAATTGAGCTCATCTAATTGGAGATAATTATCCAGATCCTCGAATCCTTCGAAAATATGGTCGGGCTCTGAAATATGGGAATTTTTCGGCTGTTTTTGGCAGGTTTGAACAATTTTCAGAATCAAAATTTTAGAATTTGAATCTTAAAATTTTGAAAAAAATATTTTTCTAAATTTCCAGTTGTTCAATTATTCACTCATTTCAGACCAAAAGAATTCAAAAATTTCCAGGCTGAAAACATTTTCTTTGTTAGTCAAATCCCATAAAATCAAAAATCTCAGAAATTTTCAGCTGTCCTTTCTTGGCTATGATTTTCAGCACATGTGTCTATGAGCAATTAACCAAGGAATTAGAGTTTGATGTCAGTTGACATAAACTATAAATTATAGAAAATTTCAGATATTTTCAGACAAATTTTCCGAGAAAATCCAATAATATAAGCTTCCCCTCCTTTATACCTTACCATATCATTTACAGTTTCAAACTTTCAGATACAGTGAACACTCTAATAGAACGTCACCCGAATCGTCAAATTTGAGCCCATGTATCTCATTTTCTGTGAGAGATATCAAAAAGTGGTCAACTGATGAAATGTTGCTGATATCATGATAAACAATCTGTCAGTTAACAACTTTTTGATATCTTTAACAGGAATCGAGATATATAAGTTCAAAGTTGATGGCTTGGGTGGCGTTCTATTGGAGTGTTTACGGTAGTTGACATAAACTACAAACTACAAACTATACAATTTTCAGATATTCTCAGACAAATTTACCTGCCAAATGGATGATTCCATATTTATATGGTAAAATGATTAAAGTTGCCAAAAAACATTCAAACCATGAAACATACATACTTGCCAACAAATAAGTCGCATTTTTATGAAATTTTCGACATTCAAAAAAGATAAAAATCATGAAAAAACACATTGAAAAACATGTGAAAATCGTGAGAAAAATTAATAAAAAATATGGAAAATTGGACCAGGAAATGTAGGAATTATCATTGAATACATAGCTAGGTATCCAGATATCAATGCTACTCCACAGTAATATATTCATTTTTTGGGGATTCCGGAAACTTTTCGAAATTCTAAAATTTGAACATTTTTAGAAAACTGATTTTCAAAGAAAAATCGAAAATCCAGAAAACAACAAAAGTAATCTAGAAAGAGAATTTGAGAAAATTAAAAAAAAATGAGGGAGAAATGGGGAACTAAAAGAAAAAGAGTGACAGGTGATTTTCAGAAAAAAGAAGAAATGAAATGTTTGAGATCTATGTCATTTTGTGACATCAAAAAATTCGCATAAATTTTTTTTAAATCTGGAAACTGTCGAAAGCATCTAGTATTTCAAATTTGTCACGTTGAGAGCTTCAAAATGACCCCAAACATCGCCAAATTAAAGATAAATTTTCTGGAAAATTTCCAAAACTTCCCAAAATTCGAGAATTTCGAGTACAATTTTCTGGCAATTTTTGGTCCGAAACTTCTAGAAACAATTTTAATTCTTTAAAACTTTACCTGGACAAACAGACACACAGACCGATTCATTAAACAAACAAAAATGTACACCAAGAGATTATTTGTTTAGACTCTCTCTCTCTCTCTCTCCAAAATGAAAAGTCACATCTGTGGTAAAAGTCACAAAATTGTCATAAACGAGGCATGAAAAGACAATGGAACTGATTCATTCTACAGAAATATACATTCAAAAAGTGGCAACTTTTTGGTTCTTTTAATTTTTTTTTCAAAAAATGAATTCTAAAATTGTGGAACTGGAATCTCAAATTCTGAAAAATCAGGATCCTGTGAAACCTAAATGTTTCATTGGGACTATAGAGGTAAGGTATTGGATAGAAGAATTCCAATGGTGGGGTTTGAAAAAAATTCAAAAATTCGAAAATTCAAAAATTCAAAAATTCGAAAATTCAAAAATTCAAAAATTCGCAAGTTCAAAAATTCCAAAATTCTAAAATTTTTTCAGCTCCTCATCCTGTTCGTCTTCATCACAGGAGTCATCCTCTTTTGTAGCCGGTGACATCTTCAATTGTTTTAAAATTTGGACAATTCCTTTGGATCTCTCTTTTTTTCTAAATAAAGTTTTCGAAAATTCTGAAAAAGAAGAATTTAAAAAAGACGCGATCATGTAAAGAATTTATTCATCATCATTGATAGGCCCCCATCCGGGTAGGTAGCAGGGGTGGTCAACGGTAATCCTGGCGCTGGATGGACCTGAACCCGAGACATCACAGGTGATTCGTGATTGACCAATTACAGAAGAAGGGCTATAATCGACCAATTACTTATCTACCGCGAACGAGAGGTATTACAATTGACCGAGCAAAATGCGTATCTTACTAACTGGCCCTATAAAAGGTCCACAATTGAACAATCGCGAAGAAATTCTTGTTTTTTATTTTCCGAACTTCTTTTTCCTTTTTTGGATACTTTACTTCTTTTTTCGCCGTTTTCTTCGCAGTTTTTGTTCGGAATCTATTAATTAACATATAATATTATACTAGAATACTGTATAACCATGAATGTGTCGTTTTGTTTGCAGAAAAATAGAGAAAATAACCGGAAGACAAAAGTCAAAAGCAAGAAGCCGAAGTTTCGAAAAACTCTGGAAGAAGCATTGCTTCTGTACTTTCAAAAGGTAAGAAGCGTCCAGAAAATCCGAATTTTTAATCTAATTTTTACAGGGTATCAGAAAATCTTCATTTTCCTGTATGTCGACTGGGCACTCCGGAAAAATGCAATTCAGAATGAGGATGGAAAAAGTTCTGGGACAGTGGGTAAATTTGAAAACGAATATCAGAGAAAAAAGTTGATTTCAGACGGAAGTGTTAAGTTCGCGGATTTCGAAAAAAAATTTCCAGTCGATAACTTGTGTCAGAGGTATAGTACAAAAAGAATTGAGAGCTTAAAATCTAGATAATTCATTTCAGTTACTTCGAAACAACAATCAACATCATCTTCTGCTCATCGTCATCGACTGAGGCAAAAATGGACAAAACGAGAAGCTCCGATGCCGTTTCAGCCAGTACGACAACAGCGGAAGAGAATAATATAAATTTTAATTAATTGTTTTTTCGTTTTTCATTGTTTTTCTGTGTAATAAACAATTTTTAGCAGCTGCTAGCTTCCAGATTCGAAACGATATATGCCAATTATTGCTCTCGCGGCAAGCCAATTGGAGAGATTTGGTCGCGATAGGGCGAATATTGGTCGTTTGCGGTGGCGCGTTCGCGATTGGTCTGTAAATGGCCTGCGGTAGGCATGTTCCGATGTACCCATGGCGACTTTCCGCGAACAATATATCACCTATTATAGACGCTGCGCGAATCACCTGTGATGTGGCACGCCGGCCGATAGCGTACACAACAAGACCACAAGTGCAACACTAGAGAGAGGCTAAGAATTGTGTTTATGAAGGAACACTTGGGAAAGGGAAAATCATTAAAAAAACAACGCGCTCAGCATATGGTTATGTTATCATCAGGATTGATATGCCCCGAAAGATGGTAATGAATTCACCGCGCTATGTATGGGGACTCGAACCCGTGGCCAGCGGCGCGACGACCAACAGCGTACACCACAAGGCCACGCGTGCAACAAGAGAAAAGGAGGGGGGAGTGCGTATAAGAACGAGCGGGTGGAGGGGAGGCGAGGGGGAGAGGCAAGGAGGAGAAGGGGGAAAATTTTGGCATGGTAAAGGAATGGAAAAAATCCAATGTTTTAAACAGTTTGATAATTTGGTTTTTATTCATGATAATATTTGTCTAAAAATAAGAAATCATAAAAGAAACAAGTCCGGATGCGAAACGTCTACACAGAACACCTCAAATATCCTGGCTAGATCCATTTTCTCCCGATGTTTGTAGACTTCTTTCTGGAAATTTCCTTGAATTTTTAATGAGATTTATTGGAATCAACAACCTGTATCTGATTATTAATCCTCATCATCTGAGCCATCCGACTTCCATAATTGGATTTTTTCATTTCATTAACATAATAGTCATGTAGATCATCAGCCAAAATCTCTTGGAATTTTTCGGATATTCTGAGAATTTCTCCTTGAAATCGTTTTCCGACATAATGGAAACACAATTGGGAGAGCATGAATGACAATTCGACTTCTGATGGATTGAGATTAATCATTGATCGGAGAAGAGGGTCCAGACGGATTTCGGTGGGGATGTTCAGGAAGCTGGAAGAGATTTAAAGGTGGTGTACGATGAAAATTTTTATTGCATCAAAATGTGCAGAAAAGCATGTAGATTGACATAAAAATAAAGAAAAATTCAAAAAATTCGTTCATCGAGAAAAACGCATCAAAAATAGGCCGAAAGCCCTTAGGGACGAGCTTTTTCGCTTGTTTTTTCTAGGACACCCGGTGAGTAAAAGCGCGCGAATTCAAACTTTCGAAATTTTTTCTTTCGTTTTCATTGTTTTTTCTCCCAGATACATCGGAAAACCTGAAAAAAACAGTGAAAACGGAAGCAAAATTTTTTGAAAGTTTGAATTCGCGCGCTTTTACTTACCGGCGCGCTTTTACTTACCGTGGCCTAGAAAAAACAAGCGAAAAAGCTCCCTACGGGCTTTCAGCCTATTTTTCGATGCGTTTTTCTCGATGAAGGAATTTTTTTTTGATTTTTTTTCTTTATTTTTATGTCAATCTACATGCTTTTCTGCACATTTTGATGCAATTTTGTTTATATAAGGATCTCGAGGAGTTTTTATAATTTTTGGAATTTTTCCAAACTTGATACTTTTTCGAAAATTTAGAATTTTCTAGTAAATAAATCAAAGTTGTCAAAAAATTCGAACCATGAAACATACATACTCGCCAACAAATAAGTCGCAATTTTATGAAATTTTTGACTTTTGAAAATGATAAAAATCATGAAAAAACACATTGAAAAACATGTGAAAATTGTGAGAAAAATAACAAAAAACATGGGAAAATGGACCAGGAAATGTAGGAATTATCATTGAATACATAGCTAGGTATCCAGATATCAATGCTATTATACTTTTGCTATTATACTTTTTAATATACTTTTTTTAAGTTTTCAGATTCAATAAATATATTTTCTTTCAAACTTAACATCTGAAATTAACTATGCGCCTTTGAAACTCACAACTTCAACTCCTCTACATTATACTTTGACAGCCATGTAATATCCATTTCAGGACTTCCAAATTCCATGAGGACTGTGTCATTTTTCATCCGCTTCAAAACGTTTTCATCAAAATTTTGTCTGATTTGTCGAGAAGTCTTGGATAGATTTTCCAGTCGAGACCATACGGACCAAGTGCCTTCCAGAATTTTTATCTGAAATTTTCCAAAAAATTGAAAAAAAATGTTCTCAAAATATTCTCACCTGCAAACTCTTTGGAAGTTTCTGGAACTCATCAAAGTGGGTTAACCATTTTGACACACTCAAAATTTGGCTCTCCAATTGTTCCACGGCCTCTTTTTGACCAAATTTAGTATTTTCAGAAGTTTCTGGAACATTCTGAAGACTTACTAAGCCAAGAGACATCTTTTTCAGACGATTTTCAGCATATAGAGGAGTCGAGGGTCCCTGAAAAATTTTTTTTTCGAAAAAAAAGGTTTTTTGCAGTTCTTGGGCTTACTGTACCTGTTGAAAAACTAGGTGAGCTTGATCAATTAGGAATCTGAGATCTATGAAACTTCTGGGAAAATCCTGAGAATTGGAACTAAAAATGATCAAATTTGAGTTTCCGGTGAAGGTGTCCAGAGTCTGAAATTTAATTTCGGAGATCAGAAATTTAGAAATTTAGAAATTTTGAATTTTTAAATTTTTGAATTTTTGAATTTTTGAATTTTTGAATTTTTGAATTTTTGAATTTTAGAATTTTTGAATTTTTGAATATTCGAATTTGAAAATTTCTGAATTTTTGAATTTTAGAATTTTAGAATTTTTAAATTTTTGAATTTTTGGATTTTTGAATTTTAGAATTTTAGAATTTTAGAATTTTAGAATTTTTGGATTTTTGAATTTTTGAATGTTTGAATTTTTGAATTTTTGAATTTTTGAATTTTTGAATTTTCGAATTTTTGAATTTTCGAATTTTTGAATGTTTAAATTTTTGAATTTTTGAATTTTTGAATTTTTGAATTTTTGAATTTTTTTCAAACCCCACCATTGGAATTCTTCTATCCAATTGAACCATTTCTCTCACTTTATACGCATCTCGATCAAATTGGAAAGCTGAAAATTTATAAAAAATTCAAATTTGCCGCTCAAAAATTTGACCTACTTTCCATGCTCATTCCAACTTTGAAACATTTTTGGAGTCGACAAAATTTACAAGTGAAGCATCCTTTTTTGAATAATTTGCACCGATTTTTGAATTTGCAGGGACGGATTGCTTGGGGTTTTGGAGCGACTCGTCTGAAAAATATTTGGATGGCCTAGAAATTTCTAGGCCATCACTAACCTGAAAAATGCCGCACAAGCTCTACAGGTAATGGCTCCAAAGTGTTTTCCATTTGCTGGTTCTTCGCATACAAGGCAGATATTGATCATTTTGTGAAAATACAGCGGTTTGAGTGAAAAGAACAAACGTCATATGAGAATGGAGAATGGGAGACGCAGACGGTTAGAGTAGAAAAGAGAGAACCGCAGACTGGTGAACCTTTCTGTCCTATAACACAACCAAAGTTCAACACACGGCATGGCTGAAGGTGACGCAACTCTCCAAAATGTACAGTACCGTATATACCGTATTTCCTTTCACTGAAGCTCACCCAAATCGTCAACTTTGAGCTCAATTATCTCGATTCCTGTGAAAGATATCAAAAACCTGTCAACTGATGAAATATTGGTGATATTATGTTAAACTATTTGTTAGTTGAAAATTTTGTTACTTTTCAAAGGTACCGAGATAATTGAACTCAACGTTGACGGTTTTGGTGAAATTCTATTAGAGAAAATACAGACTTTTGACTGTTTTAGTGGAAAGTTTTACTGAAAAGCTGTTTTCTTAAAATTTCGCATTTATAAATCTCTTAATATTCAAAATTTCTGTATTTTTAAGAATTAAGAATTAGAAAAAAAAAGAAAGAAACTTCAATTTTTCTGGATTTCAAAAATGAAGTGTCTGAGATTTCCGAAATCTTCCTATTTCTGGGCATTTTGGAAATCGAACGCTTTTTTTTAATTTTTGATTTTTTTTTTTGAATTTCTGAATTTTGGTGATTTTTGAATTCTCAAATTTCAAAATTCCAGTTTTTTGTGAGTTTCGAAAAAGAAATCATTGCAAATTTCTGAAATTTCTGGAATTGCTGTTAGTTTTATTTTCCGAATAGTTTTCGAAATTTTGATAATTCTGAAATTAAAGATATAAATTTTAAATTATCGAATTTCGGAAAGTTTCTAAATATTCAACATTCCCAAAATTTGCAAAAACTTCTATCAAATTTAAGCCTCACCCTCTTTTTTAGACGTACTGAAACCTCGAAAATAACCGAACCTTGCTTCTTTAAAAAATTTCAAAAATAGATTTTTCACTTGCAAACTTTTATTAAAACATTTTAGACATCAAAAAAATTAAATTGAAAAGAATAAAAAAATTGCAAAAGAAATTACCGTAAAACCTCTAATAGAACGACACCCGGATCGTCCACTTTGAGCCCTATATATCTCATTTTCTGTGAAAGATATCAAAAAGTGGTTAACCAGTAAAATGTTGCTGATATCCTGA